GCTTTCCGAAATCGGAATAGCTTTTCATTCCCAACCCTCCTACTAAATTATTTCATTCTTGCATGCAAAAAGACCTGTATGGTGACTATGGGGCTATGTAAAATATTTTTTGCAACTTACTAGGTTTATAATTTGTCATTTTTTCCCGATAATGTCGATAATCGTCTGTTACCCGACTGTTGACATCGACATCGCGATACTTACGCGACATCATCGATATACGATAATGTCGCCATATCGCCCAGCCCTACAACGAACTACTGTATATGTTGGATTTACAGTAGTTCCACTTAACTAAAACCATGGTATAGTCTACATCTATGATGATCTAATAAATAAACATGAAGGTCTTACCCCATTAGAAGGATATGAGGTCCAACCCAGCTCTGCCTGGGACTCCTTAGAATTCAGCAAGACAACTGGAGGAAAAAAAACAAAAACAAATCAAGAGAGAAACAATATAAGAACTGATAAGGTATCAGAATCATTAAATTGCAATTATATGTTGTGCATTTTCTTTCTCACTGTCAGAACACATAGAGCTGATATAGTGTTTAATAATAATGAACACACAGTCCCAGCGGACGGGCTGTTGATCTGGAGGGTGACTGCATCAGAGGCGCATTAGAGCTCAAATGGGAACTGACAGACCTACAGAGCTGCACTTAGTGAAATGAAGAGCACAGGTCATCAGCTGATAATGTCGAACAGTTTTGCAAAGCACAAGAATCTTGATGGATTTCAGCCAGTGAATACAGTCTGTGATACAATGTGCTGGTTTAACATTTAAACATTAATTTTCTAAAGAGAAAATAAATGTTTTACAATGCAATAGAGCCCAAGAGGCCTGTGAAGCAAATTCATGTTGCCATTTGTCATTTCTGCTGCATTTCTACAATTACAAAGCCCTAATGTGAAACTCTGCTTCTAAACTAAATTAAAATGAGCAGTGAACCCTTGAATGTTGTTATTCAGCAATTCGGACAAGTACAGGACTGTGTAAACTAACTTAGGCAAGTTGAAACACTTTAAAAAGATGCCCTTGACACAAATAGAGCTTGGGCTCTGAATCAGCACCTTGGACAAGGCTTGTTGCCATGTAGCCTATAATTCAGAACCACAGACAATGCCCAGCACTCACAAACACAGTTTAAGCACCCTGGACAGCTCCACTGCCTCTCTTATTCAACACTCTGCCTAAATCTGTACAAAACAAGATGACTTATAAGGGAAAACATGTCTTTCCATGTCTGCAGGACAACTGCACTACGATTCAAAAGTCTGGGGTCTGCAAGTTATGTTTTTGAATGATGTCTCTTTCAATAAGAATTCTCACCAAGGCTGCATTTACTTGATCAAAAATACAGTAAAACAGTAATATTGGGAAATATTGTTACAAATGTAAACATTTGTGTTTTTTATATATTTTAAAGTGTAAATCATTTCTTAATATATATTAGATATTAAATGTACTAATAATTATTCATATTAAATATAATATTTTAATACGGTTCATTTCTATATATTCGCATTAAGATGATACTTTTGACAAGGCATTTAATAAGCCATAGTATTATCATGAAACATACAGTTATATTATATTATATAATATTTAATATATATAATATATATATATTGTGATCAAAACTACAGTAAAACATTTGCTCAGCCAAATTATAATATATGTGGGTGCACCTATTAGGCAAACGTATATTTAAATATTATATGGTATATTATATATTATTCTGAATCCAAACTTTTGAATGGATGTTTGCCTAATTAGTGTAATAAAGGGCCCACACTATGCCACATATCTCTGCCCTCATTTTGCATGGTGGGTTATCAGAAGCTGAATTATTCATTATTTATTGCTTCCAAAATGCTTGTTTCTCTTTGCTCTACTCTCTGCTGTAAAACACACAGCCACGTGACACCAGCAAAATGCCACCACTGTACGTCGCTGACACAGACTCCGTACTCACACATGCGCACGGGCTCTGACATCACAACACTAGTCTGAATGCCACTTCACAACAAGCCAGATGAGCTGCAGAAGGCTCTTTCAGAGTTGTTGTGCATTTCTGCCATGAGAGCACTTATATCTCACAGCATGACTCTTTAGCCTTGTAGACTTGTGGTTACTGCCAAGTATTATGAGGGGGGAAAAAACATGTAGTGAGGGGTGAGTATTTTACATTCCCAAGGTTTTCTGTGGTAAACACAGGCATAATTTTCAGTGTTCTGACATTACTTCAGTTGGTTGAAGTGGGGTTTTTTCCCCCCTCAGAACAGCTGTTGCTCAGTCTCTCTACTTTTAGGGGACAAGATGCCATTTGATTTCTGCTGACACAGGCCCCCTACTGATCTGAACTTCAAGAGACACAGAAAAATAGAAAGAGAGGCTGTGCCAGACTAGGTTATACTACACAATGCAGACATTCTTAGAGAACCACGGCAGTCAGAGAGACACAGCGGGGTCAGACTAAGTAAGAGACAGAAAAACATAAAAAATGTGAAAACAAGGAGGAAACGTTCAACCAAAAATGAACCCCAAACCCATTTGACTTTCTTTTGTTAAACACAAAAGTATAGATTTGAAATGTGCTCTTAATGAAGTCTGTTTTCTAAATGCATGTGCTAGATCTTATTGTGAATGATTTATCCATGCATATGTTTTAATAAAAAAAAAATTGAGCTAGTAATTTTTTCAATCATGTCATAACTCGATCTTCCGGTGAAAACAGATTTTGATGTATGCCGAACTTCTCTACTCATTTTGTATGCTTAAACCGTGCCCTTTTCTTACAATCAACTTCAAGCTCACATTCAGATCTGCCTCCATCTAATCAACAACTGACAGATCCAAGTCTCCGTACTACATATTTTCTCTTTCATTAATCTGTTTCGCTCAGATGTACATCACAATATGGTTGAAAATATCATCGTGACTTTAAAGTCACTCTTTTCCGTGTAATTACAATTAATAGAGCTTTCAAGCTTCCAAAAAATGCAAAAGCAGCATTAAAGTGTCATAAAACAGGTCATAAAACTCAAGCACTATATTCCAAATGATATGAAGCCATGCAATAGCTCTGGGTTATTTAAGTCATTGTTCACTGGACATGCTTGACAGTCATAGTCCCCATTTACACTCACTATACAAAAAAGGGCAGCTTAGACATTCTGCTAAACATTTCATTTTTTGTTCTACAGAAGAAAGTCAGTCAAACAGGTTTGGAAGCAGAATTATTCCCTCACCCCCCCAAAAAAACCAAATTAACCTTTGAAGAAACAAAGACAACATCATAAAGAGGACTGCCTGAAGGATGTGCTTATGTCACAAGGGCACTAATCTCCGTCAAACCCAACACACTTATGTAAATCCCAGTGAAAGAATGATAATATGAGAACCATAAAATTCAATAGAGGGGATTAGCCACATGTTGTTAAACTCGCTTCCATGCAGCTTATCGGCTTATATACATAAAGCACATGCAGGCTCAGAACGCACCAATCAGAGTCCAGAGACCTGTGGAACACTCATCGGCCAAACAATAAGCACACACACACACCAACTTAAATGAACTCTCTATGTGTGTGTGTGTGTGTGCTTGTGGCCATTAAAGCCAACCGAATGGCAAAGCGCATTAAGTTGAAGCCCCATACAGACCCTTATGACCTCATTAAACTTTCAGCTCTGCCATTGGGGTCTAAAGAGAGCTCGCTTTTCTCTAGGGTTCTATGGAAACGCTCGCACGTACACGCACAAGCCGCTGAATCATAATAACAGCTGCTTGCCTGGGTTTCCGCACAAGGGGGAGGCGTATTCACAAGGACCTCTCAGTCCTTCTCGCTCTTCTTTCTGATCAGCTTGGCATAGTCTCGAAATGGGTCACTGTGGCAAACGCATGCTTATAAAAACACAACCCCCCTCCGAGCCAACACAACACGACATACTTCCCAAAACCGACTTGCTTGGCTCTTACATGATCTTGACATCGGTAGCCTTGGAGGCAGTCACAAATGAAAAGTTGTTTTCAGGAAAAGGGGGTTGAGCGGAAGTCGAGGTGCAAGAGATTTTCTGCGGTTGGTCAGTGAGAGGTGGCTTGAGTCATGGGCTGTGACCGTGTGGAGTCGGGTTATGGCAGGTCCATGTGCTGACGTAGATGTGAATGACAGCTTCCTATTGATTCAGTCTTCCTAAACGCTGAAGCTTGGCTCACTCATAACGTCATCGTCTACCCACCAGAACCTTTGAGCTGTCAGAAGGGAAAAAAGTTAATGTGTTTAACAAGTGATTCAGGGTCATTAAATGGTCATTGAATGCCTTAAGACTTTCATGCACAGCTTTGAAAGCTGCTTTGTCTCATGTTCTGTGAAAATGATTTGGAATTAAGCGAGTAATGGCAGATTTTTACTTTTGTATGCGAGTATGAGAGGCGTATGAATAATCCAAAATTAAATTAGGCCACATCTGACAATAGCGAGTGAATTGAGAAAATGTACCAGTTTTAAATATTTTGTGCCTGTCATGAAACTACATTTTACATAATTTATTTTCAAATAAAAAAAAGTTCAATTTTGGGGTCAGTAGGATATTCAATTTTATTTTTTCAAAGGAAATTATTACTTTTATTCTGCAAGGATACATTAGATGAGTCAAGAGTAAAGACATTTATCATCTTACAAAAGATTTCCATTTGAGATCAATGCTTTTTAACTCTTTTTCATCATAGAATCCTTAAAAAGATGCATCACGGTTTCCACAAATTATTAAGCAGCACAACTGATTTCCACATTGATAATAGTAAGAAATGTTTCTTGACCAAATCTGCATATTAGAACAATTTCTGAAAGATCATGTGACACTGAATACTGGAGTAATGACTTTTAGAAAATGTAGCTTTGCCATTACAGCAATAAATTGCATTTTAAAATAGATTCAAATAGATTTTTTTTTAGATTGTATATGATTTAACAGTTTTACTGTATTTTAAATCAAATAAATGCAGCCTTGGAAAGCATCTTTCAAAAACATTTAAAAAAAAAATCTTACCAACCCCAAACTTTTGAAAAGTATATAGAGAAAAATTATGAAATAGAGTTTCATGACTGTTGAGAAGCATGCATATATTTTACCATTATATTTAAGCCTTATTGTTTTTATATATATTCTGCAAAATATGCAATTACATTTTGAGTGCCATCCCAAGCATCTCCCAAAATTGCCTATACAGCCAGGTTCATCACAAATCCATAATTCCTCATTTTGAAATAAACGTCACGAATGAAGACAGCAGTTACCAATAAGGGTTGGGCTGAGAGCAGGCAGGTCATGTGACCAACTCCCTGAGTGGAGACTAGAGTGCTGTCAGCCAGAGCATGTGCTTACATAACGATTATGAGATGTGAGCC